GGGGGGGGGGGCAGCTTCCCAGGCTGGGTTCAGTGACTCCCCGTGGTCCCTGGATTTGACAGAGAGGTCAGGTCTAGGCCCGCGTGACGTCGGGCTTCTGGGTCCTGCAGTCGGGCCAGTTCCCAGAGTCACACACAAGCAGATAAAATCCCCCTGTGGAGTCTGGAAGGGCTAGTGGGTGGGCCTGAGTGGGGTGAGGGGAGGTGGGGAGGCATGTGGTCTCCGGGAACTGCTGAACTGCTGTGTGCCCCCAAGCAGGCTATTGATGGAGCCTCATCACCCCGGAGTCACGCTCACCCTGTTTGCGAGGATACTGGGGGTCCAGAAGGTTCTTCGTCACGGGGGCCCTGAGCCTGGTGGGGCAGGCTCACGACCTCGCTGGGTGGCTGTGTGTGGAGTCCGATATCTGCCTGCAGTGTAGGCATTTGTGCTGTGACTTCTGTGAACGGGTGCTCGCTCCTGCCCTAGGCTGCCCAGCTCTTGACCACAGGAAGGTGGTTTTCCAGAACCCCAAGGGGGCCCCACAGGGGTCTCTGGCACTTCAGGCTGGTGAGTTTGCTGTGCCCAGCCGGGCTGCGGGCACGGAGCAGGAGAGACTGCGGTGGGCGGTGAGCAGAAAGCCTGATGTCTGAGTTTCTAGAACCAGTTCCCCTTACTGGGTCTTGGAAATAACTGAGTAAGAGCATCTCACCGGGGTACGAACTCCTTGGTTCTGGGTGTTGAGTGTTTGGGGAAGGCGACTTTGTGAACCATTCTCCCCCTTTCTTTCTCCAGTTCATCTCTGGGCGGAGACGGCATCACGTCTCAGTCTCCCGTCACTGTAATCTGCAGGTCTTGTCAGACGAACCTCCCTGGACCCCACTCTTGTGTGGTAGCCCTCAGGCCTCCGTGTCATTGCTGTTGCCAGCCTATCAATGGGGCCTGGTCCTTACCTTAACGTACTGGTTCTAGTACATGGCTGGCTGCTGAAAGGAGAGATAATGGCATGAGTGAGGGAGAAGATTCTTCCTCTGTAGCAGGGCAGGCTGGGGGCGGGGCGGCTCTGCTCCGTGTGGACCCGGGTTCCTTCCAGCTTCTTTCTCTGCCATCTGCTACAGCATACTCCCACTGCCATGGCTGTCTGCCAGCCCGTGGCAAGAGCGAAGGGAAGAAGAGGAGAGGAAGCTCTCTCCTTTCAAGGGAATAGTGTAAAAGTGGGGCACACTGGCCATGATTTAGTCACATGACCGCAGCTGGAACAAGGGATGCTGGGAAATGGAGTCTGTGGTCGAAATGGAATCTGTTAGTCAGTGTCGGCTAAACTCCATTCCTGTGCTTGCTCGACGAGGAGCATGGACAGCTGGCGTCCTGTGCCCTCCCAGGTGTGTTTCCAGCTTCCTCTCGTTCAGCACTTTGAGCGCTCCGTGCCACGGTCCTTGGGCCTCCCTGAGCTCCCGACAAACCTGCGTTGTCCCCCCAGTTCCTTTCCTGACGCCACCGCCTGGAACCTCACAGAGAGGTTCAGTGAACTTCACGCACAGTTAGCGTCTTAGCCTCCCCGTCACTTAGCATAGATGGCCGGCTAGAGGTTGGGAATGGTCTCCATCTGTCGTCATGTCTGCAGCTGATGTTCGCGCTGTGTTTATCACCTGCTCTACAGGCATTTCTTGAGCACCTGCCGTGTGCCCGAGAGTGTTACGGGTGCTTGGGAACCAGTGGCAAATGCTTGGTAATATTGGTAATGCTTTCTGTCCTTACAGAAGTGGCATTCTAGTGGGGGGGGGGGTGGATACAATAACAAGTCAAGACCTAATGAGGAAGGGATAGGCAAAAATGAAACAACAAACAAACAACCCACCCCCCCGCCCAAACCCCAAACAAGAACTGAACCGAAATAAAACCAGATGCCAACTGGGGCTGGATGGGTCATTTCCCCTCCCTGAGCCCAGGACTCTCTTCTGTGAAATGGGCATCTTGATGATGCTCTTCCTGGTATTGTTCTGGCGTGTTCGACAGATAGAAGCCATCGATCGGACCAGATTTTCTGTCCGCTGACAGATTTGCCTGCAATGGTGCACTTAGAGTTCGGGGTGTGACAGACTTGGTAGGTTCTGTCCCTGGGATGGAAGGGTGTTCTCCTGGATTGGCCAGCTCATTCCCTGTGCCCCTTGTCACCCTCCCAGGGCTCTAACCTCACGGACATCTGTACCCAGCTCCTCCTACAAGGCACCTTGTTAAAAATCTCTGCGGGCAACATCCAGGAGAGGGCCTTCTTCCTCTTTGACAACCTCCTCGTCTATTGCAAGAGGAAATCCAGGTGAGCTGCTGGGGAGGTTGGGGGCGGGGCTGCCCAGGTGGGCCTGGAGGCAGGGATTGGGTGGGACCCTGACACTTTCTCAAGGGACACCTTAGGCTTGTCACTTTCCTCTCCTGGCATCCCTTTTCTCAGCTGAGGGGCTTGTTCTCGATGAGCACTGTCTAATAGAAATATAAGGTGAGCCACATGTGTTAATTAAAATTTTCTAGTAGCCACGTTAAAAAAAGCAAAAAGGAACGGGCAAAATGAATTTAAATAATGTATTTTGTTTTTCCCAACGTATCTCTAAATATTATCATTTTCATGTACATAACCAACATGTAATCAGTTTTTGGAAATTATAGAGGTATTTTGCATCCTTTTTTTTTTTTTTTTTTTTTTTTTTTTTTGTACATTAAGGTTCAAAATCTATTGCATATCTTAAACTTACAGCATGTCTCGATTTGTCCTAGCCTTGTTTCAAGTGCTCAGTTGCCCCATGTGGCTTGTGGCTGCCATATTGGACAGATGGCTGCCATATTGGTCTAGATGGTGGTAGAAATTTGGAGATTCTTTGTGACGCTAACACCCTGTGATTCTGAGACCCAGAGGTGGGAGATTCAAGGGCAGAAGGCTCTTGTACTGTTAAGCTTTTTGAGGGAAAGGATAGTACCTTTGCCATCCTTGTATCTTTCACTGGAGTGAATGGATGGGTGGGTGAGTGGTATAGACACATACAGATGAATGTATGATCGCAAATGTGAATGATGGCATGTGTGAGCCGATGGGAGGAGGGATAGGTGCACAGGTGGGGGGTTTGGAGGATGAGTGGATGGCGGTTGAAGGAAGGTGGGAAGGATTGTGGATGGACGTGTGAATTGATTTGTGGATGGATACGTGAGTAGATGAAGGAGCAATGAAGGAGGTGAGTGGTTGGAGGTGTAAGGGGAAGGCTGGATGGAGAGAGATGGACAGAAAGCTGGGTGGTTGGAGACGTGGATATGAAGACATGTTGAGTTGACAGAGGTGTGTTCAGATGAATGGTGAGTTGGGGCCTTCGTGTACGAGTTAAGCAGGTGGGTAGATGGAGGGATGGTCATCAAATGGGAGATGGTCAGGTAGGTGGATGGATGGATGGTTGGTTGGATGGTTGGTTGAGTTGCTGGGGTGGTTGGATTTTGAGATGGAGGGTTGGGTAATTGGATGACCGAGTGGGTGGATGGGTGGGTGGATGGTTGGAGAGAGGAAGAGTTGGGAGATAGAGGGGTGTGGGGCATGAGTGGCTGGCTGGCTGGCTGGCTGGCTGGGTAGATTGGTGGACTGAGAGGCTGTCTTTCAGGTTTTTTGAAGACTGTCTCAACCCAGCCCTTTTGAATCCTCCTACCTGTTACTTTGTTTTAGGGATGAAACAGTGACTTTCCAGAGGCTTCTTTACTCCTTTAGTAGAAGCTCAGGCTGAGGGGAGGTCCAGACCCTGGGCCCTACTGTCAGCCTTGCCTCTCCCTTTCTTTGTGGTTCTAGGCACGTCACTTACTGTCCCTGAGCCTCATTTTCCTTGTCTGTTTCTTCTGGCCTCCTAAGATTGTGGTGAGGAGCCTTTCCATAGGATGAACGATGGCGTTCCATGCGTGTGTGTGGGCTTCTCTTTCTCCTCCAGCCTGACCTCTCTGAGCCTCAGTTTTCTCTTCTGTAGAATGGGGATGATAAACCCCCTTCTTACAGTAGTGTTTGGTTTAGAGCCACGCTCCTTACATTTGAATTCCTGTTCACATTTCTGTAGCTCTGTGACTCTGCCTCTGTCTGCCTCAGTTCCCTCATGTGTAAAATAGGGTGACTTATCGTATGTATCTCCAAGAGCCACTGTGAAGAGCAGGTGTGTTTAGTAAGCGCGCAAAATGGGGGTTACTGTTCACTTACCTCCATGTGTGTTGGGTTCCTGTCCACTCACAGGTGCAGCACCAGGCAGTGGAAAGTTCTTCGCCACAGGCCCCTTCCCCTCCCACCCTTCCTCCCCGTGCTGGGTTTGGTCCTTCTGGTTAAAGGCCTTGGTCTCCCTCTTTCATTCACCCTCTCCCGTGTCTTTCTTATTTGATGTTTTATTCTGCCCGCTCTGTCAGGTCTGTCTGTGTCTGCCCCCCGCCCCCCATTAACGCCCCCATTTCCTTCCTCTTTGCTTCCCTCCTGTTCTCACCGGGGCCATCCCGAGAGTCCTCCGCCCTCCCTGCCAGCTGCCCCAGGCTGTCCGAAGCAGGCACTTTTCCCAGAACGCTGGGGTTTAGAAAACACAGTGTCCCTTCAGGCCCGTGTGACCCGCTCGGGCTTTGGCTGAGTTTGCTCGGCCTTCGGCTGCCCGAGTGAGGCCCTTCCCCTGTGGGCATGGCCACACCTGTCAGAGCAGTAGCAGCCGATTCTGCTGGTGCTGGATCCCCAGTGGGCCTTCAAGGGCCAGCCCTGTGGCGGGCGTGAGATGAGCTCTTTTAGGGCCGTTCCCTGCCTCAGTTCTGGAGCGAGCCAGGCTGGCTGGGGGGGAAAGGGCACATCTGTCTCCTGGGAGGAGGTGGCAGGCGGCCAGCATTCCTGCCTCTGGATGGGGAGCCAGAGGGCCGGGCTCCAAGTCGTCCCCGAGGGATCGGGCAGGGGTGGATGGAACCCTCGGCCCCACTGACGTGGTCACAGGAAGCGCCTCCTGCTGCCAGGTGTCTGCCGACTGTGTTTTCTCCGCCTGGGTCACGCGGGGCACCGCCCGTCCGGGACTCGGGTCAGGGGAGGTCTCCGACTCAGAGTGCTTCTGGCCTAATTCAAAAGTAGAGGCTCCCTGGGTGTGTCAGAAGCGCCAGGAGTGTTCGAAGAGCCCACCTCCCCATTCTTCAGCACGGGAAACCGAGACCCCGGGAGGAGGAGAGCTAAATCTCTAACATCTCAAAAGCTTATCTCGTGTCTCAGAGATGGCAGCAGCATGTAGTGCTTAAGGACACAGAGGCCCTGCCACTTAGTAGTCGCGTGGCCTCGGGCAAGTTATGTCAGCTCTTTGTGCCTCTGTTTTCCCATCTGTGAAATGGGGCCAAAAGTAGCCCCCATCTGATGGGACTGTTTTTGTAGATGAAGTGAGAGAAAACATGTAACGGCTGGCTTATGTATGTAAAGGAGAAGAGATCCCAGTCCAGTCTTCATCCAGGTGTCCCTCCGGGACACGGCTCACGTTTAAACTGTGTCTAAAGCAGGCTGTTTGTTTTCATCACAACTCCTGCCCCAGACCCTTTCCTCCTGGCGTCTTCCTCACTCTGAGTGAAGGGCACTACCAGTTGCCCAGGAGCCCAGGCCGGGATCTTAGTTGATCTTGGTGCTGGCCTGCCTCACCCCACACCCACGTCATCAGCAAGAGTCAGACGCTTAACCTACTGAGCCACCTGGGTGCCCCTAAATGACTGAAAATTTACATGGAAACACAAAAATAACTATGACAACTTTGAAAATGGACAGAGCCAGGGGACTTGTACTACTGACAGCCAGGCTTACTCTATAGCCGCAGTAATTAAGACAGTGTAGTGAGTATTGTGGGCGCCTGGGTGGCTCGATCGGTTAAGTGTTGACTTCGGCTCAGGTCATGATCTCACGGTTCATGAGTTTGAGCCCCGCAACGGGCTCTGTGCTGACAGCTCAGAGCCTGGAGCCTGCTTTGGATTCTGTGTCTCCCTCACTCTCTGCCCCTCCCCTGCTCACACTCTGTCTCTCTCTTTCTCTCTCAAAAATAAAAAATAATAATAAAAAAAGACAGTGTAGGATTGTGTAAAAAGTTTGGTGGAACGGAATG